TTTCTAACGACTTCCAGATGTCTTTGAGACAGGTGGTAAGGCGGGCAGCTGTCGAAAAAACGTAGAACAGACGTACCCGCGCCAGCCTGCCGCCTCCCCTGCTTTTTTAGCTGTCAAAGATTGACGGTTTTCCTTTTAATAGTATCTTTTTGCAGGCATAACTTGGATTGGGTTTTTCAGTTATTGAAATATGTGCACCATGGCACACTATATTTGAGTTGGTGCTGTAAATTAAAATGAATAAAAACAGCTTTTGGCAATCAGTTATGGCTAGTTGAACATAATTGGTGAATATTTGCAAATTGACAGTTAGAGTTGTGTTTGATATTTACTTTGAAAAGTTCTGAAACATACGAATGATGATTGTGCATGTAACAGACATTTGTGAATTTTCGTTATTTGACTTCTTCCATATCTTGGTTTTCAAGTTTTGTACCTATTCACTTGCCTTTTGAGGATGCACGAAAAGGACATTCTTAAAGTTGTATATTTTCAAACATATTGTATAGCATATTACTTATAACAAAGTGTAAAGTATTGTTTTTCTAAGAATTATTTGCTACAAAATAAAATGGATTGAATTCAGATATTTTTGAAGATACACCATAGAGATTCTTTCAAACCAGGACAATCAATTTAGGTGCCTCTTATATTTTTCTTCGGTAAGAGTTGGATCCTTGTATTTTCTCGGCTGACATGATGATCAAATTACAGCAATCTTGCTTCTTCAATATTCTGAGATCTGGGAAAGAAAATGTCATCCTTTTGTCTTGAACGGCCATGAAATATGACCAAACTTAATGAGAAAATTAATTAATTCTTCATAAACACAGCTGTGTCTTTAAGAAACATATGATGAATTGCTGTGGTACTCTTGATTGTGCCTGTTTACATTAACACCGATGAGGGCACATCGTAAAGTCTTCTTTATTGCTGGAATGCCACCGCGCCAGTCTGTATTGGAAAAAGCTCGAGCGTGCAGCTGAACCCTGCGAGAGGCGATTGTGTGCAAGCTGGCGGTCAGTTCTAAGGGTGTTGACGATCAGGTCCAAATTTTTTATTAAAACTTGTACATTTTGGTGTGCTAATTCTTTTTCAGATTTGACTATCCTGATTTTACTTTTCGGTTAACCCTGAAAAAATATAATTTTCATGCAATTTGTGTACGTTTCTTTCTGTCACTGGATGATTCAACATAGTAGAACAGTTTATAAACAAGCATGTTTTACATCCAACTTGAATGTAGTATTGAGTATTTTTGTGAAGTGATACCCATATTTATGTAAGCTGGAGGAAGAATGATGTGATTGTGTCATGGCCTTTGTATTGCATTATAAGAAGTGTCATGGCTCCCTGAGACTGCCACCGCGGTCTACTGTAGAACTTCTGCCGGGAGAGAGCTGAAAGTCGGGGGTTCGATTCCCGGATGCATCATACCCAAATATGTTAAGAGATGGTACTTGTTGTTCCCCTGCCTGGTGCTCAGCATTAAGGGGCTAAAACAAGGACTGGTCTGCTCAGAGTCAGTATACTGTGTTTGAGTGGGGTATTCATGTAAACTGCAGCATGGTATCTCAGTGGGCAAGCACTATTAAATCATTAGTCCAGACTAGTACAAGCATCCACACACACACACATGTGCATGCACGTCAAATATAAGTGCAATAATATCGAACGTGACATTAAACCTCACCTCACCTAACCTAACCTAACCCCACCTCACCTCACCTCGGTGGTCCTTAACTTATTTTGAGTAGCATTGTTCTGTAAAAGCAGCTAGTGGAAAAAGTAAAGAAAAATAAAATTCAAAGCATTGATTTAGAGTGATTTTTTTTTCAATGTTTATTTATATATTTTATATTCCTTCCCATAGGGAAATTCAAATGTATACATAAATATATGTATATCTCAAGTTTTTGGCCTCCCGGACTTCATCAGACAAACTCTCTTAGTTTAGCACTACAATACTCAAGATGCTTGTACAGCCATTGCTGCAACTAGTATTTTATATTCATTTATAATATTTATAATAATAATATTTATTTAGTTAAATATATAGGATTTGTTTTGCAAGTTATGAATATGTAAACAACTGCACTTTCCTACACTGAGGATGAAAGGTTGTAAGAGCTTTACTATGAATTGTTCTCCTGCCAGTGACTGAGCTATTTACAGTTTCAGAAAGCATTTCATGCACTTTGCAAATGTCAAGGAATCAGGAAAAGTGTTTTGTCATGACTTACTTATTGAAAAGATTTCTATAAATGATGTAAGTCAATATGTGTGTGGAAGCATGGTGGCTGATACTGTTTCTCACATTCCAAGCCAGTAAGGATCAGTGAATTAATCATGGGAAGGATTCCTCTTGCTTAAAAGTCAGAATTCTATGATAAGTGTTATCAAATGTTTCATCAACAACCTTACCAGTAACAGCTCAAAATAAATCAATTCTATTACCTCTTAATACTTCAGTGTGTATTAACAGATGACATGTTTTGTCAACAAATGTTTCCTGTGTTTTTTTAATTGATTTTTTTCCTAAACCATTTTTTTATGACTATATGAATAATCACATGACATGCTATTATTCATATGTTTTTCATACCGTGATCTTCAGCTAAATCAAAGTCACCAATATCTTTATCATCAGTTTCTTTATGCCTAATTTTGATATTCCCATAAACAGTAAACATTCTACAACTTTTGGATAATACTTGATTGGTCAGCCAGAGGTATCAAATTTCAATAAATACCTTTGATTCAAGCAGCATTACTGCAAACAAAAATCATATTCAGAAGCACTTATTTGGCCATTAGCAGGCCATGGGGGATTATCTCTCAGGGATTTGATTTTTGAGGTGTGTTGTGGATTTGACAGGGGTCTTGTCATGCCAAAGACTTTGTTTCTATTCTCCAAATGGGTAAAATGTGTGCAGCCGATTATGGAATATACCTTGCTGTAAAATGGCTGGGATATTGCTAAAAACCCATCTCTCTCACTTCACTACTGTTGATTTAACACCTCTCAAATAATTTTCCAATTGAATGCTTTAACTCAAGGTTTAAAATACCTTATTTAGAAAGCATACCTTGGAAATACGAGGTTCATAAATTTTGAAAATTACATTTCTTGGTATAAACATAGACTTTGCTACAAATAACATTTGGATGTGTGTGAGGGTGCTGAGAGTTGTGAACACTTTATAAATCATGAACCCCACCCAGATGCATAGTTTTAACACCTACAAATGATTTGTTGAATAGTGGCAAGTCATAAAATATCTTCTTAATACTACAACAAGATTTCTATCGTGGAAACATTACCACTGTTTCAGGGACCATTAATATCCCCATCTACAAGACTGTTTAGTACTCACACGGTGCGTACAATATATCTCACGATAAATCAGATCTGGTATCAGTTGTATTTCATCCCATTTTGAATATTTTTGCAAACATGTTAAGGCTAACCATTTGGTGAGCCCATGTGCTTCTCTACCTGTGATTTCCCTCCGCCACCCCACTGTCTGCCTCGCCCCCTAACTGTACTCAGCTGGAGGAGATAATGGCTGCCAGACTCTTCCCGCCAGGTTCCTTGGAGCCCAACAGGTGGTAGTGGTTTTCGGCACCTCTCCTGATGCCTTGTGGGAATGCCCCACACGCCAGTAATATTCTCTGGTTTTACCAGACGAGTTGACAACCTCGAAGAGAGCAGGCATATATAGTTGAGGTCCGTACCAGCATTGTGAATATTGGCGCCTCTGCTGGTGTGATAAGATCGTGTGATAAGCGCATGTACGCTACAGGATCTTTCAGCGGAAAAATCTTGTGTTGTCTTGGAAGACTTTCTGAATCTTAAAGAAAGTTTTACTCTTTGAGTAAAGTTTGGCAGTTTTCTGCTTTGTGTTTGCTGGTCTTGGAGTTTACCAATCTTGGACTTTTTGAAGATCGGCATCTTGGGACTTTGGTACTGTGTTTTATAAGACTTTTGGAAGCTTTGGTTTTGTTTGTGGATTTTACCATTTTTGCAATTACTGCTACTGGATACATGAGGACGTGAGGATGTTGCAGTTTGATACGCCGCCAGCCCTTGTGTGTCCCAACTGGCTCATCTCAGGGAAAGGTAGGAAAGAATTAATCAGTTTTATCTGAACTGGAAACAAATAAAGTTGAAATCTACTTGAACAATTTTTTCTTTCTTTCATTATAAGTCCAAAGATTTATCTGTCAAAAATTAATTTTCTATAAGATTATTTTTTAATCAATCAATAAAATAATTCAAATTTGTTAGATTATTTTTTTTTTTCATTGACAAGACAAATGGGATAATTTTTATTTTTTTAAAGGAAGTGAAATAACAATTTATGATATTTGTTTAAGTGTGTTGGCTATTTGCTTCTTTCAGTGCAGTTTGTGTCATATATTTTGGTTTTGTGTTTTTAATCTTCAGTTTTTTAATATACTCTGAAAATCAATCAATCACTATATTTCAAATTTTCTCAAATTTGAATACATTTTGATGTTAGGTTTATGAAATTGATCATTTTGTCATGTATACAGCATAATGGTGCTGTAGTCAATGGGTGGAGATACTCTTTTATTGATATACAACAGCATGTTAAAACCTGCCGCAGCGATTATTCCCTTAGTTTACATGCTGGTGTCAGTCACATCCCCATCTTTCTCTCTCTTTATGATGTGTGCAAACCAACAACATGTCACACACCTTGACACATTTTCACACTGGTCTTCAGGGAAAAATGCAAATTTTCCCCAAATCAGACTCTACTGCAACCTGCTTCCTAAACCCATGCCATAAAAACAAACAAAAAATGTACAATTTGTGTGGAGATCGGCGTGTGCGGAGGCAATCTCGTTGGCCACATCTGCGATGGAGATTTCCTCCCATGTAACACATTGCCTTGGTACAAGACCCCACCTGCACTGCCACTAAGTATGAGCAAGCCAGGCTGGCCGTCAGCCTTTTGTTAAAGGGCCCGCTTCATTGCTGGATAGAGTCACCATGCTACTGCAGTCTTGGCAACTGCGTCCTATTGTAACTCGCCTCTGATCAGAGAAATCACCCAATTAACTTGAAAAGATACTGGTAGTGATAAATGCTGTCTGTAATTCAGCCAAATCGGGGGTGTCGACAAGAAGTGTGTTGCCGATGCTGTGTTTTCGCCGATGCTGGTATGACGGGATGCTTACGAGGATGAGGGAGACACCAAAGTGAGGCTGTGTCAGTCAATCAGCTGTTGTTGGGCTGTGTCAGAGCCAGCACTTACATTGTGCTATAGCTATCGGTCGCATGTCCGTCTGTGTGTCTGTGTCACGCTTCATCGCTCCCATCCTCCACACCTGACCACCACTGTTTTGTGAGGAGTCCCAGCTGATGCCAGTGAGAGCCTACTTGCCAGGTTGGTACAGGCAATCTGTGATTGTTCCAGTGAGGCCTGGTAGCAAGGCTGGAATGAGGAAGTGATTGGCTGCCTCTGGGTCATTCAGTCACTGTTCGCCTCGGCAGTCACATCTTTATTGCCGAGCAGTCCCATCTTTATCACCTAGTTGAAGCACCAGTATTTCTCAGTAACCCGGCTACAGCAGGATTGTCATCCTGCCTTCATATTCCATTGAATTCGGATCATCCTCATAGTGTTGGTAACATTTGTACAGTAGCAGACGCACAATAGCAGACGCAAATAGCAGACGCACACAAGCAGATGTATTGTACTGCTGCTGGCTGCTTGGCTCTACCACGACACAATTGCTGGATATTTATTATACAAACAGATTAGTGAAATCAGCTATCTATTCCGGAGACAGTCGCCAGAGGATGCTATTCAGTCTGTTCCATTAATGAAAAGATTCGCTGGTGGAAGTGATGATTCTATGATTGAAATGTTGTGTGTCTGACGCAAAGCATCTGTCTCAGGCTGGACTGTGTGCATCAGTGTTGGGACTCTCTACCGAAATACTGGGATAGCCGTACAGGCTCCTTGACTACTTGAATGATTATTTTTGGGATGCGAAAAGGTGAGACTTGGTCCTTTCATTGCAATGTGTGGAAATAATAAGGTGGAATGATTCTAAAACATCTGTGTAATACATTAAATTATTACCCGTTTTTACATTTAGTCGAAATAGTTTGTTGACAAAACTGAAAACGGCTTATACTGAGGTTAAGGAACACAACTTGCAGAACAGAATAATGGTTTAGTAAGCCAGTTGTCAGATTCATTTAGCAGGAACATAATGAGAACCAGCTTCCTCAGACCTGTTACATGTAATTAACATGCAGGCGTGTTTTATGTTCAAAAATCATGTTTTACAAGCTGAATATTTCCCTCCTAAACAATAGCATGTGGTTTCTGGCATCAATTTGCACAGTGTCAGAGGGATCTAGTTCTCCCAGAAACAAATAACAAATATACATACCAGTGTCAGAAAATATTAGTGGGATAATGTGTGAGTTGGTTTCACTGCCAAACCTAGCAGTGCCTCCTGCCTGTGTGTGTACTATCTCTGCTAACTATCCACTACCACATGCAGGTAGTGGGTGTGTTCAGCTATCTCCCTGCTGTGGGTGGGGGTGTTGTTGATACAGCTTTTTGGATCTCAAGTCCTGGCAGTGTGGTCAGCCTTATGCGAGGGGAAGGTCTTTTATGGGAGCTTCAATACATTTTGTCATTTGACGATAATGTTCACAGAAGTGTTTGTGTTCAGTGAACTATTTAGCGTAATAGTGTGCTTTGTATTTGTATTGAGCAATTTGGATATTATTCTCTCAAGATATATAAGGGTCTTGTTATAAATCTTGCATCAAATTCACCGGTCTTCATTTGTTGATGGTACTTTTGTAACAAACGTTTTGGTGATTTGAAGTCATAATTTAAAACGAAGTAGAGTTAGTTTTGTTTTATAGATAACCGCGATGTAGATGGATGTCAGAATCATGTCAATCTGTAAAGTAATTATTTTATTTAAGGATACAGCTGTAAAAAAAAGGAAGCCGATATGTAGTCCTCCACACATAACACTTAGGAAATATCACAAATATACTTTTTTTTAAACTGTTTCTCCCGAATAGGGTTTAAAGTTGTTTTAAGGCTGATGTTGTATAATTTGAACTGACGTCTTACGGAAGACCCATTAGGATAAGAGAAATATGAAAAATGGTAATATTTACAATTCATCTCAGCACCAAGTATGGGTTTAAAATAACATCCTTCCAATCATTGACACTATGGCCAGGCCATTAGAGCTTGTGTTCAAATGTGTTCTGTGACAAGCAAATCTGTTCAAATTAATGCCCCCATGCAAGGATTATGTCTGCTACATCAAAGCAACATTTGGGCTAATTATTGTGTCCAGAAGGTTATACTGAAAAAGGTTAAGTCTGTGGGATAGGGGTATATAATAGCAGGAACATGGCCCTTATACAAGACAGCCGTGCCCTGGGGCTGAGCTGGCTCTGCCGTAATTGATGTGATAATTAACAAGGAAGGAGGTGTATCGCTTATAGCAATCTGCTGCATGTTTGTTTTATGTCACAATGCAAGACTTGCACCTTAATCTCACTCTTGTTATGGCTATAGCTCAACACTAACCTATAGGTTTTAGCACTGAGTTGCGAAAAGGATTTCAGACATCATTGTAAATGCTGAATTTATTCCTGTAGTAGTTTTTTTTAACTGAATTTTTTTGTATTATATGTCTAAATCAACACTTTATTTGTGTTGGATATCTATATTTTGTGAGATAAGGTTTTGGATGTGAAGGTTTGTTTGGGAGGTGAAACCTGTCAAATGTAACATGCTTACTTGCTGAAATACTCCACAGCAGGAATGCAGCTGACATTTGTTATGAAAGTTCAAATATTGATTATTGTAGTTGACAATTTGGCCATTAACATGACTTTTATCACAGAGCTCAATTGATATTCAGGGGGTGCAACAAGGCGTAACATAGCTTATTGTGTTCATTCAAGCACAATTACAATTGGTCCCACTTGTTTTACAAAGGGAAGTGTTTTAGGGCACTTAACCTTATAATGAGGTAGGAGCTTTATAACGAGGCTGGCTGGTGGGAGCCTGGGGACCAGCTGGCAATGGGCAGTGGTGGTCATCTGGTGGCTTAACAACAGACCCGTAACACATGTTCAGCTGTTAGTGCTGCTACATCATAACAAAGACAGCCAGCCACTGGTAGGCATTTCAGAGACAGCTCGCCATGGGAGTGGATGAACAGACTCAGAGTAGGAACACTTTCATGTACATTTCACCAATTCTGATGTCAATTTCAAAATTGTATCTAATATCTGGATATTTGACATTTATCATTTAGCTTATGATTATATTTTATTATTTTTTTGAATGATTTTGATGTACTGTCAGGGTAGTGGATTCATTTTATTGACTTGTGATTTAATAATTATTTTTAATTTTTTGCTTGTCAATTTAAGGCTTTACATTAGTCATTTGGCTCATGGAGTTTTTGATATTTGATGTTCATATCAGGGTTCACTGTGTTCATATTTCTGTGATGTTGGATTCAAACTATTGTTGGTTTTTTTTATGAGTTTCAAGCAATCAACATTTGCATTTGAGTTTTTACATCAATTTTAAAATTGGGTTCTTTCATCGTGGCGTGCATCAGTTTCGGAACTCTTGTGTTTTTCACACTGGTTGTCAGTGTTAGACCTGCCAATCATTCATCATTTGAATGGATTTTTTAAAGAATTCAGTGTCCTTTTATGTCAGGTTTAGAACATAGCACTGCCATCATTTCTTCATGTCAAAGTTGGATTTTAGACAATTCATCTTTTTTAGGTTTTTACTTTAACTTTTTAATTACATTCTCATCCTGTTCGGTGTGTATGGTATACTCCGTGGGGATTATGTGGTCTATTGTGAAAACTGTCTAATATCGTCTTCAACTGTCAGTTTGTACTTTCATCAAACCATTCTTAATTTCATTTTGTTTCATTGCTATTGGTTTCAATTTTGAAAAGAATTATATTGGAACATTTTCCATTTTCCCACGGCAGTGAAGACTAATTAATATTTTATACACGTAATAGATGACCTTTTGTCATGAATGTTTTTTTAATAAGTGACATTACCAGGAGATATGTGGCTTAGGTTTCTGTCTACGCTTTCACAGCATCAATATTTTAGTGTTGCAACAGAATCGTGTCATAACCACTGGTATTACAGGGTTCCATCAGTGACACAATCCTGGTTGACTCATTGCTTCACCTGGCCGTTTCATGTACATTTCATGTCCGTTTCATGTCCATTTCATGTTTGTTTCAAGTCAAAGTCACAATGACTTTGCATCTTTCCAACGTGTTGCACCACTGTAGAATAAACAGAGTCTTCATCCGATTGTGGAAAAGAGCGTCATCCACAGCATCTAAAGATGCTCAGGACAATTTGAAAAATGCACAAACTGTTATTCTTTTCAGATGCTGATGTCCATTTGATTTTAGTGATGATAAAGTGTTTTTTTCAAATTTATTCATTTAGTTTTTTGTTTCAGATTATAGAGATAGTATCATGCCTGACTCTCCGGAATCAAAAGGTGTGACGCAAACAACAAGTTCACCTGCTGTCAGCACGATGGCATCTATTCCGCCAATTACAAGGCCAATATCTAGTGGTAGCACCGCGTCAGGTATGTTGATAACATGTTCATATCACCCAACTGACAATGTTGTGCTGTATCATAAATTGTTAATTACATGTTCATATCACCCAGCTGGCGTTGTCCTGCTGTGCCACACAGACGTTGTATATAAAATGTTCATTTCACCCAACTGGATATATCATCTTGTATCCTACATTGTTTATTTCATGTTCATGACACATAGTTGGCAACTGCACCAATTTATATTTTAATTATCTTGTTGTAGAGTTTTAAAAGTCATACAGCTGTTTAGACATTCTTGCAGAACTTAATTGTCAACCCGTATTGTTTAAAGGCAAATATCAATAAATTGTTCATGCCCTATGGTTGTCGCTATCATGTTCGTTGCACAGTTGTATATGACATGTAAATGTCACAGCTGTCAACAGTTCCATACGTCAATAGCCTGTCTATATGGCATGGCAGGCAGTATTGAGCCCCAGTTTCCCAAACTACCTCAGTTATGTACAACGCACAGACTGACAAAATTATTGGACAGTTTTGTCATAGTTTTATTCTTTATTTGATCATGTCAATAACACGTCAATATCACATATCATCACAGTATCACTAACAACAGTAGTGTGTAACATTTTTGTAACACACACACAAATGTCAATACATCATGTGGTCAGTTGTTGTCCAAGCAATGTGTGGTCAATAGTTTGTACGACAAGGTCGTATCACATGTGGTGGTGGATGTTTACAGATAGCAGATTCTTAGCTCAGCCGAGGAAATTAGTTTGCTCACCTTCACAATTCAGATTAGAATAAAACCTGCTGCTGAGTAAATAACATGATATGCCTTGGGATGAAAGGAAAGTGTTAGGGCATAGGGGTAGATGAGCACTTATAAAAAAAACAAGGGTCGATTCCCAACGTGGAAAATGTGGGAAGCTCACTCATGGGTCTCTGTTCGTGGCTCAGATAAACTACACTGACTCCGCCACTTGTGACGACTTGAAGTGCATCAATAGATCCCATCTTTCCTGAAGTAAACATGTTATGAATATTTCATTATGAGAAGAATTATCTCTTTTGCAAAATATTTAATGATTTAAGTAATAAAAGTTGAGCACACAACAACATTTAATCTTTAACAGTTAAGAACTAATTTCAAAAAAATGTTTACAGAGGCATTGATGTATGGATGAATATTTTAGAAGCTATAACTATGTGACATACAGTCAATGTGTAAAATTTTGTCATTTTACAATTATTTTTCTGTCAGTTTGACTGAAAGATATTGGAAGTTCTTAAGGCCGCTTAGAAGCCAAAAAATGAAAAAAAACCATATACCTTGACTTTCAGTTTTCTTTTAATCCTATCATTTTCAGTCACTGGGGTGATGAAATAGAGCATAAAAATGTTGGGAATTCCTTGACATTATATAATAAATGGAAACACATTTGTAAAATTTTACACGTTTACTGATTTTACACATTGACTGGAACATATATAAATGCATAGTGATATAACTGGAATACTGTTTAAAGCAGTGTTAAATCCAACTCACTGACTCACTTATATAAATGGACTACTTAATGTAAGATGTGGAGTATGTTGTTATCCCAAGTTTATAAAAAACACATTCATTGCATATAAATGGAAACAAATTTCTTCGAAATGGACAGATTTGTTGCAGTTTATATGTGATGTATTTTGACAGACATGAGATTGTATTTTACAGGTCTGAATGGTTCTCATTCACCCCTCAGTAGCATCAATGGCCGCACACCATCACCGCCGTCGATGACCAATTCCTCCATGTGCCAGCAGCTCCCCCCTGCATGCGGCGCCAGACAACTCAGCAAGTTGAAGCGCTTCCTCACAACGCTGCAGCAGTTTGGTTCCGACATCTCTCCGGAGATCGGCGAGAGAGTGCGCATGTTGGTCCTTGGCCTTGTGGTACGTTGGTTGCAAACTGAAATATCTTCATTCATAAAGTTTACTTGAACTGCGGCCTTGTCTCTGTTTCTAGCCTGCTGACAAATACTGTCTTTGGGATTTTGGCCAGATTTTGTCTACCTCGATCTGCAAGTTATGCTAGTATTAACATGATCATAAAGCTATGTTAATGTATGGGAGTGCTGTCATGCTGCAGGGATTGCTTTGTGGAGTCAGGCCATGAATTGCACTAAAGATGTAAATCTGATTTTGACAGACAGAAAAAATGTGTTTGATGTTTACTATTATCAGTTTGACAGTTATGTTTGTTTTCCAAATTTAATTTTAATTATGAAATGTAAAATGAGCCTTACATTTGTATGAATGTTTGTGCATTTGTTTTGGGGATATTCATTTGTACTAATTCTTTTTCAGAACTCCCATCTTTCCATTGAAGAATTCCATGCGAAACTGCAGGAAGCAACGAACTTCCCCCTCCGACCATTCGTTATTCCATTTCTCAAGGTAAGGAAGGAATTGAAGTTCTAGTCTTTAATACACAGAGCAGTACATGTAAATTGCTGCAGAGTAAATCATGAAGTCCCATCTGTCACATGTAAAACTGTGATAAAACTTTAGACCTGTTAGTATTGTGTTTCCAACAGTGTTACAAGAGAGTTATCTTTCCTTGCAGGCTAACTTGCCTCTCCTCCAGAGGGAGCTGCTCCACTGTGCACGGATGGCAAAGACCACACCTCAACAATATCTCGCTCAGAATGAACACATCGTGTTTGATCCAGCTCACTCCCCGTTAGAATCCACAGACTCCATCGCCTCGGACATGAATGAAAATGGCAAACGCAGATCACCAGACAGGTAAATAATTCTCCTGCAACAGATAAGGGAATTTTCCTGTGTGTCTGTATACTGACTCAGAACCGACCAGTCTTTATCCCATTGATCCCGAGAGCCAGACAGAGAAACAAGTACCATCTTTTAACATTGTTTTGGTATGATGAGGATGGGGATCGAACACTGACCTCCTCTCCGTGGATCTTATGAAGTGGCTAAGTCCACAATGGAAAGATTCCTCTCGTTGCTATGGGTGACCACTTTAGAAAGATTTCCTCTTCTTCCTTGCTAAGGGTGTTCATAGTTCTGCTTGAACCAATGGAAAGATCACCATGCTGTCCACCATCAAATGAAGAAAATAAGTCTTAATACTTAATTTTCTAGAAGTAATTCTAGATCCTAATCCAAAGCCGGAAGCAATTTAAGAATATTTTTTACTTGAAATCTTTTTCCTACAGACCCAAAGAAAATGGCGTGGATTCTTCTCACATGGATTCCATGCACCCAGCCAAGAGACACCACCCGATGAGTCCCATGGGGAGCAGTCGGATCAGCCCCAACGGATCCCTCAACCTCAACACAGGGGGACCAATCAGGCTCGAGGACATCAGCATATCACGGGAAATTCGGGAACGAGAACGCATCGAGAGGGAACGGATGGACAGAGAACGCATGGAGCGGGAGAGGGACCGAGACAGGCATTACACAGGTTATTGTAAGTAAACATAATCAATAATTTTTGGTGATGTTAAATGTTTTTAATGAAAATACTGATAACGATGAATAAATTTTCCTTTTAAGAAAATATGTACGAGGGTGATCTGTTAAATATAGTTACTATTTTGTCCAAAAGTTTTTAATTATAATTTGATATTTTTCAGCTGGTTACCAAAGAAATGAGCCGTTTGACCCATTGGAACGACTTGATGATGACTGGAGACATGTTGAAACTGTAAGTGGAAATGTTTGCATCTTGAAAATAAAATATTTAATTAATGGAAGTATTGTAAAAGATCAGTTTAACAGTATTTAATGGAGGTAATATTATATAGAGATCACTTGCTGATGACAGTGTTTGGTGTGTTGCAGATGCTCAACTGTATCATTGGGATGGTGGATAAGACGAAGCGGGCGCTATCAGTGCTGCAGGAGCGCAGTTTGCGTGACCGCGAGGAACTGTCTGTGTGGATGCGACGCCATGCAGAGGGCATGGACCAGGATGTGAAGAAACGTACAAGTGACATGATGGCATACACGATGAGACAGACGGAGGACCGGGTCTCCGAGGTCAGGCGTAGGGCAGGTACGTCACACACCTTATATTTAGAAATATATATAAAACCATCTAGCTCTGGCAATGTTGCAGTACGAAGATTTGGTGGAGAGTATAACCTTTTGCAAATTGTTATATAAAATAAAATCTTGTTAATATCATGTTGAAATATGAGGGAACATTTATGAATGTCGACTAATTAAAACTTTGGTTTATCCATTTCTGTTGGCCTTTATCTTTTCTGAATCAGCTATAGTCATGAAATAAGAACATTTAATTTTCATAAGAATTCTTTCAACACAGTTTGGTTTTATAAAGGAATTCCTTTCAATATAAAAAAACCCAAACAACAATTTGAATTAGTTATTTCCTAGATGGTTTTTATGTTCTGTAAAAAATATTTAGAGTTGTCTCCCCCTGACTTATTTGGTTCCATTCCCATGATTCCTTCAGAAGAGGCAGTGAATGAGGTGAAGAGACAAGCGATGCTTGAACTGCAGAAAGCTGTGACAACAGCCGAACAAAAGGCCTCTGAGATGGTTACGATAGAACGAAACAAGATGGATCGTCAGTTGACAGATGTGAAAAAACAGACCCAAGAGGAAGTTGTAGCCAGCATCAACCACCAAGAGGAGAGCAGCGAGGTTAGTAGGAGAATGTCTCCTCTTACTTTTACAAATAGAATATTCCGCACGGCAACTGAGTTAAAATATTTTGTTATCTTCGTTCACCTTTAGAAACATCCCAACCCTTGATAAGCGAAATTTGTTGATATGGATTTTTAATGTCAAAGTTAATCTTTTTGAAAATCCTCCCCTCACAGGGAACTTTGTGAATGAATTATATATGTTTCTGAAATGTTTATGGTGTTTTTTTGTGTGTTACAGAGTTGCTGGAACTGTGGTCGCAAGGCCAGCGAAACATGCAGCGGCTGCAACATCGCACGCTACTGCGGGTCATTCTGTCAGCACAAGGACTGGGAGAGTCATCATCATGTTTGTGGGAAAGCCCAGGTAGCTAGCATTGCTGAAGCCCGAGATCAGAGGAAGGCGACTAATCGAGAGAGGGGTGACGGCCCACCTGGCAAGATCCCTGACATGGAGTCCACACCCACACCCACACCTAAGAGCCCTCAACAGCCCGAACCCAGCCCAACTGCATCCGTGACGTCGGTCGCATCGGCAGCCTCTACAGCTAACTCTCTGTCAGGGTCAAGATCAAGCACGCCGGCAGAAAATCGCTCATCGGACGCGACCCGATAGATTGCTCACTATTGTTGGTTGGACTAAGATATTGTGTATTATCTGTCGTGTGACGACCGCCTTCAGTATCACATTGTTGTTCCTGTGCGTGTTGGCGATGTTGATATCGGCGTCGGTTTCATGCCAGCGTTCTCAGTGTACTGGAGACTGACGTACGTACTATGAGCTATGTATTATCGGACAGTATGACTGTGAATGCTATGTGTGTACTGTTCACGCTTCACGTGACCTGTCTGTGCACGAAGAAGGGACTTCACAACTCACCTGACAGCAATCATGAGAAATCCCCATTCTTTAAACTGTGGCCGAGGATACACTGACACTACTTCCTAGACTTCAGGGTAACATATTGATCTCAAAGTGAAACGAGATGTGCGGTATCGTGCTATATCTGTCTCATGGTGAAGTGTACGAGATGGATCGGAGGGCTGTTCTCAAGTGTCTCTAGTCAGAATGGGAGAGGGAAAGGATTGTGCTGCCAATGTTTATTCGAATGTACATTTTCATGATTATGTTGATTACCATGATAAGTAATCAGTAATCACAAGTAATGACACATAATCAGTATATCATTCCCTAATAGAAAGGAAATGTGGAGATTGACTCGGAGACATTACAGATACTGTGAGGTTGAGGCACATCCCATAATTCCCTGGCCCACCACAGCCTCCTCCTGAGATTATTGTCATGGCAACAGAATCTCATTTCCTCTAGTCCCTGTCTCTGATAACCGTCATACCCAGACGTGTATATCTCCCAATGTGCAATCATTCAATCCCATGAGATTTAAGGCTTTAATTTTCCTAACCCACAGGTGATATTGTTTTATTTTTTTTGTGCATTTGTTAAATGGTATTTTGGGAAAAAAGACTGACCTTATCTTTTCCTGGGTTTTTTTTCTACCCAGGAACTAACCACAGGTGATGCAGTAAGAACATGCTACCACATCAGGTGGTCTGACGATTTAAACATTTCCTGGGGGATTCTCAGGATGCGAAGCTCACCTGTGTATGTTCATGTACATTGCTTCCCAACCTCAAAGATGTGTAAAATATGACATAGTAATATATATGTATATTTGGCATTGCTGTCATGTAATTATGAATATTCTGTTACGTATGTATGGTGGACGAGTGTCTGAGCATGTCAGTTGTCTCCCTTTTGTCATTCTCGGACACCAACATGTTGTTACCATGGAGACAAGTCACTTTAGAATGTATGTTGCCATGGCAACTTAATACACATTGAAATTCCGATGTAATTCCAGGTTTATTTTTGTGCCAAAGTTAGTGTAGATATTCAATTCTGATTAAAATAACATTTTACTTTAGGTGTTTGGGGGGAGAAATATTGCACAATTTTCACAATCATTTCAAGTCAAACTTGAAAATTTGTGTTAAAAAGATAGCAAAGTTACTGGTATAAAATACCTTTATCAATTATGTCCTAACTAAATGATAATTGAAATATTAAACAGTTTTGTTTAACTCTTTGCTTAAAGTATCCTCACGCACTAAATTGATTACCGGTAAACCTTCACATTCGTTGATTTAAAGTCCTGTATTTGGTCTGGTTCGAAGTATCTGTAAATTACAATGTTACCATTCAACCACATTCACAAATAACTGCTGCAAAAAAATATCGGATCACATGGAATTTTTCACTCATTCAGAAAATCGACTATTTTTATAGAGTTTAAGTTCAACTTTTACGTAACTTGAATTTGCGAGTCCAGAGTGTTGGTAGAATGGTAACAGATTGACTGTAGTGCTCTGTTGTTCTCCACGCGGTGTCCGTCTGTCTGTGATGTGGTGTAGCAGTGACGGACGCCGTTGCTGTCCCTGTCCCCAGGTGTCTGGATGTTGGTGGCATATATTGTACTCTACATGGAACTCATAATAAATACTCAATATGAAAACAACATACTGCTTATGTGCTTTGTTCAACTCAATGCTAAAGGCATTCTTGTATCAGGTGTGAGTGAAACCATTTTGGGACAGGACCCTGGTCTACATGCAAATGTAGCCCAAAGATGACTGTAACAGCTAGGAACTGTAACAGACTGGGCAAGATGGCAGCCCTAGCAAGTTTGGACTCCATGAAACTCACGTTCTCCTCTGCCAAACCATAATGTATGATGCAGACACAATGTCTCAATTTCATTGATTGATTGGTTGGTTTGTTGGTTTGTTGGTTGGTTGATTGATTGAAACAACAAACACTGGTGAAACCTACAAGCTAGTCAGTGTCAAGCATGTCAGCTAGCTGTTGGAGGAATGTCTAAGGTGCGTCAGGTCAGGTAGATGTTGACCAAATTTGGGATTCTGACATGCACACAGGATACAACTCTGCACAGTGACAGGGGCTCCTACCACCTTGGGTATTGTGCTGATTAACCAAGGATGAACATGGGATTTAAACCAACAATATGTAGATCCTGGCATCACCAAGGGACAAAACTCTGTACTGCCAAATGTTCATAAATTGTTTGAAAGGGAAAAAAGAAATAAAACTGACATGCATTACTGAACTATATTTTAGACTGTGGCATAACTACCACAGCTAAAAAGACAATACTGCACAAAAACATTTTGTCACTGACTTTCATGGCAATCAATTGGTGGCGTTGGTGGTATCGTTTAAGGGCGACTTGGACCAGAAAGCTATCCACTGGTCCAACTGCAAGAGTAATTGCCCCTTAATGAAAGGGAAGTAACTCTAGTCTGTGAGACTTCACCTTTGTTCCACAGTTGGTATGCTAGTTTAGGTAGACAGGAGACCAGTCTGCCAGGCCTTATAATGAAATGAAATCATATGACTCAAACAGCAACAAAATGAAACCGAGTAAATTTCAGACCTATTCAGGCACATTAAACTTTTTTAAACTCAAGAAAAGACAAGAAGTCGCAGCAACCTACAAATATGTGAATGGTTGCCCAAATTACATATGTCCAATGTTGACTACACTTGTAAACAGCCTCAGTTTGGTGTCAGCTTCAATGTGAGTTGTGACAACTTTTGACATGTAGGGACGGAGCCAAGCTAAAATGGTTCTCTGTTGCATTTTCATTTAAAAAAACCCAGAATCTCGGAAACTAACACGTTTTGAAGTGATTGTTAGTCTGGAATAGCAACATTTGTTCAACTAAACCATGAACTAACACGAAGGAAACAGGAAACAGCAATGAAAAACTGTATTGCCCCAGCCTTTCTAGGTCAGAGAGCGTTATCGATCAAGGCGACTGTCTATCCCGTATCACTTGCATCTTGATGTCACATGTGCTATCAGTATTGGCAGCTTGGGAAACATTAGTAAAAGAAGACAATAAGCAAAGATGACACAGTGTTTGTTTATAAACAATGAAAGTGACACCTACCTGACCTTTTTTTCACTTGCTTATTTATCAATAAATGACGGTTACTGTTTTATCTGTTGGCTTTATTCTGCTGAGAAACCTACCCATTATATAATAAATATGTTGTCATCACTGGGGTGTACAGGGTTTCACAGGCCCAACATCAGGTCTCATTCAAGCCCACAAGCCCATTCACCCCGTGAAACCTCATCCACACTGATATTACACATGTGACTGACTTATACCACTCAAACAAAACATGCAAGAGAATTATAATAGCAGTGAATCTGGAGTCTTACACCACATGCAGCAAATCCTGGCAGGAAGAACCTGTACGCAACTCTGTGAGTGAGTGAATGTCAGTCAGCAACCTTCCACCCATACCACGACAGCCTGTACATAATTCTGTCTTGGCCAGACAAACCAGAGATTGACAGCATGAGCATCCACGCTGTGAGGGCACAGTGACATACAATCAATCAGGGGACACATTGTAAACACTGGATACTCATTGGACGGCTCTTGGGGGATACCTAGTCTGTGTGTGTCAGATTACACCCAGGTATAACATAAGCTTTGACTACCTTCAGGAGAGTGACTCTAAATGATCCTTCTATGTAAAGTCTAATGGTGCCCCACGTTGACTTGAATTATATACAGACACACCCACACACAGACAATTCCATATTGTTTATTTTATTCTTGTGCCACAATGTGTCATTATAACAATATATTACACTATATAATGCGTTTGTACAAAAGATAAACAAATGAATAACAATACCAATAAATATATCCCAGGCACAAGTATTTCTCAAGCATCAAAACAAACATTTTGTGTTCCAGTGAGTGACAGAACAAAATAATGACAGCAATGCAGTATTTCAGTGGATGGTCGAGGGGAGGTAACCTTTGACGAGCTGAAATTATCCCCCTTTTCATGATGCTTTTTTCCAAGAAAGTCGGAAGGCAGTCCCCGTTACATGAAATCACTAAGAAGCATATACTGTGATGTAAATCAGGATAAATACACCATGAAGTGTAAGATTTGAAAACATGTCCTCCTACAGATAAACATTTGCCAACTAATCCCATTAACTGTGTTTGTTAGTCCTGATGAGCGTCACGGCTAGCTTAGAGGTCTATGCTCCTCATGGAGCTGATGGCATGGCCGACCCGCTGTGGCATCTGCTCCGCAGCTTCAGTGAAGGTGTCCGGGGTGGCCTTCAGCAGGACGTCAATGTTCCGCAGGGTCTCAGAGGACTGCAGGCCGAGGTCATCCAGCACATTGGTCAAGTAGTCTGTCGACAAAGGCACACACAACTGATTAAAATATATCAGTCCGAGCAGTAAACTTTGCAATTGTGTAACTATGTCCATGTACCACTTCTTTCAGGTAGATGGGGAAACAGGTTGTGATTCTATAATTCAAAAGCATAATTATCGTTTAAACGTTTGAGCTTTTAAACTAGATGTTGAAGGGGCATGCGACATATACTGTCCAATCAGGACTTCAGGTAATAGCAGACAAACACATTTTAAGGTGACTCGGTTTACTTGGATGACTTCATCGTGTTACAGGTAGCAGAAGTGCAATGTGGGAAAGTATTCCTATGCACAGACTAATTACATAGCTGGTTATGTAATTCTGATGCGCTAACATTGATGCGCTATGAGCAGTAAACACTAGAATTTTACTCTACTTTAAATGATAAAACAACTTGCATAAGGTGGCTGTTTTCTACATTGACTGACCTATATCGGTGATGAGCTGCTTGGTGGCATGTGGGGTCAGCTCGTGAATCTTGAGAACCTCCTCCGTAAACACATGCATAGTCCCCTTGGCAACAGACTCCAGCCACAAGTCAGCCAGGTGCTCTGGAGATTCTGAAATGAATTTTACTTGTCTATTATATATATCAGTCATAACCATAGAGCAGTGAGATTCAAATCTATCCAATCTACAGATAAAGAAGAGGATTTGATTGAAAAGTGTGCCTCATCGTACATCTGTGTTGGCAGCTCGCTGTGCGATGACCTACCTTGTTCATCTGTGTAGGGCAGCTTGCTGTGCAATGACCTTCCTTGTTTATCTGTGTAGGGCAGCTTGCTGTGCTATGACCTACCTTGTTTATCTGTGTAGGGCAGCTTGCTGTACGATGACCTACCTTGTTCAACTGTGTAGGGCAGCTTGCTGTGCGATGACCTACCTTGTTCAACTGTGTAGGGCAGCTTGCTGTGCGATGACCTACCTTGTTCATCTGTGTAGGGCAGCTTGCTGTGCGATGACCTACCTTGTTCATCTGTGTTGGGCAGCTTGCTGTGCGATGACCTACCTTGTGCATCTGTGTAGGGCAGCTTGCTGTGCGATGACCTACCTTGTTCATCTGTGTAGGGCAGCATGCTGTGCGATGACCTACCTTGTTCATCTGTGTAGGGCAGCATGCTGTGCGATGACCTACCTTGTTCATCTGTGTAGGGCAGCATGCTGTGCGATGACCTACCTTGTTCATCTGTGTAGGGCAGCTTGCTGTGCGATGACCTACCTTGTTCATCTGTGTAGGGCAGCTTGCTGTGTGATGACCTACCTTGTTCATCTGTGTAGGGCAGCTTGCTGTGCGATGACCTACCTTGTTCATCTGTGTAGGGCAGCTTGCTGTGTGATGACCTACCTTGTTCATCTGTGTAGGGCAGCATGCTGTGCGATGACCTACCTTGTTCATCTGTGTAGGGCAGCTTGCTGTGTGATGACCTACCTTGTTCATCTGTGTAGGGCAGCTTGCTGTGCGATGACCTACCTTGTTCATCTGTGTTGGGCAGCTTGCTGTGCGATGACCTACCTTGTTCATCTGTGTAGGGCAGCTTGCTGTGCGATGACCTACCTTGTTCATCTGTGTAGGGCAGCTTGCTGTGCGATGACCTACCTTGTTCATCTGTGTAGGGCAGCTTGCTGTGTGATGACCTACCTTGTTCATCTGTGTAGGGCAGCTTGCCATGCTTGAGGGCAACGGTGAGAGTCGAGCTGTCCTGCAAGGTGAAGGGGTCCAGATGCTGGGGTAGAGTCATCAGGTACTGGCCAATCTGAAACATACAATCAGGCCATCGGCCATCACCACAGTGTGAACTGATTGAAGTACATAAAAACTTCAAGTCACATCATTCAGCAGATTCTGACAGAATGCGCCAGCAATATACTCATGTGTTTTAGATACAGATGGCAGTTACAATCACAACCCACATGGCTACGGTGGGTTAGAGTAGATCCACAGGAACCAGTACTGGTTGTAAGAGGTGACTGAACACACCAGGTTGTCAACTTGGTGGCTTGGTTGATAGCATGTCATTGTTCTTAATGTTAATCACTGGTTTGTCTGGTCCAGACAGGATTATTTACAGGCTAAGGCCATATATACCTGTATTATTACTGAGTGTGGTGTTAAACGAAATAACAAAACAAACAAGGAGGGTTTGTTGCAAAGCTAACAGTTCTGCATGAGGTCTAATGACACAGCAGAACAAAAGGCCTTCTATAATTGAGAAAATAATTTGTTCCCAGCTGTAATAT